AAAGTAAAATTACCACCATCAGCTGATGAAATTATGTAGTGAAAAGTTAAATAAAAAGCTAGTGTTTAAGTGAGAATGTAAACACAAAAAAAATCATAGTATACTATAATGAAAGAAGAATAATTTGCCACAAAGAAACTAAAATATGATAACACAGTCACTGTTAAATTGTCTAATAAAGGCAAAGCATTTGTAGTAAGGGACACTAAAGAATGTAAAGAATGAAAAAGAAGTTATTCAATTCAACTGTATGTTCAAGATTAGCTAAATATTCTACAAAACAACTCAAGAAATATCATTTCATTCCAAAAAGAACAATATAGATGAAGCGTTAAGAATAGCCCTCATCACTCTACATGTGCAGAATGGTACAGTCTCCTGAAAATTTACAAGGATAATACACCATTATGACGTATCGTATCAAACACTGACACCCCTCGGGAAAAAATATGTTGGATTTTAGAAAGGATTTTAACCAATTTACTATCATTTAAACAAAAATTTCAAAATTCTTAAGTTGTTTGAAAATGCCTTTAATTAAGTACCCTCAAAAGAGGAATACATTGTTTAAATGATCAAACTAATAATTCACATTACACAAGCAGCATAGAGTTGAATGACACACATCATATAACTCACTAAAAATTTTAAAGTATCTGAAACGTAGTCTAATGTTAAACATTGAGCCCCATAATTTAATCATTCAAAGCTTAATTTCCAAAGTTTATCGCTTATCATTTATAGGCTAACACTTAAAGTTAGCTGTACAGAAAAAAATTAAGCCAAAACTCCAACTTCGTCCCTGTAATTTTGTTTTCACATATGCAAAATTTCTTTACTGAATTAAGATAAAACTAATTAAATTGATTATAACAATGTGTTAACATTTTAAGCTGTACATAACGTTTATACACTTCTCCGATAATGGTAATTATAGTTATTTCAAAGAGTACGTAATCATGTTTAGATACCACTACTTTAGTATACACAACTATTAATGCCTAATAGTAATAACAGTACATCTGTCACTACTTTTCCTCCAAAAAAAGGTAAATCACACACAGTTCTAATGGAAATATGCAAGCATAACATAACTACAAGAGCTTTACCAATTAGCTTTCCCACCATTGGTGATCCACATTTTTTGGCCATTCAGGATCCACTTGTCACCTTTCTTCTCTGCCTTTGTCTTGATACCTGCAACATCAGAGCCTGCTACAGGTTCTGTCACACAATAGGCCTAAAAACATTCAATATAAAGTATAACTATGTGACCTTCTATTAAGAAATATGATTAGTCACTGATGCTAGGTATATCATGTATTGTCTGATTTTATGTTACTAAATATGACTAATTCATGACAAACAAGTATACTTTTTTTTTTTAAAAACAAGTAACCAATAAATTAGATATTTCACCTAGCACTTGTACATTCAAGAGTAAATTTAACATATTTTGTTTATAATCATATAACTGTACAATGTAGATCTATCCAGAAATATAATATGATCCAAAACCCAGATTTCTGGAATGTCATTTTCTACAAAAAATACAAGTCCTTATATTGCAATGAGGAGAGATGAGAGGAAGAATTATACAATACACTTATGGTTTCTTTCCCCAATTATAATAAAGTTACTGTATAAAGCTGTAATATACATAAAAATCTTTTCAGAAATGTTAAGACTAACAGTACAATCACAAATAGATCAAATAACTTACACATATTAAAGGCTCTTCTACCATTCTGCTTAAGTATTTCTTTTTCTGTTCTTCATTTCCAGCCAGAATTACTGGTGCTTGCTATACTCATAAAAGTTAAACACGTACAACATTCTATTAACTAATATACAAAAGAGCTAAATTTAATATTCTCTACAACAGAAAAATTATAAATAAGGATCCCAACCCTAGCAACAACGAAGATGAAAATTAGTTTTTTTATTTCTTTAAACCATTACAGAGAAAACTAGAGCTAACTGTTTTAACTTGATGGAGTATCAGAAGTTCCTTTAACTTTATTTTCCAATTGTATAAAATCTAACACACTTCATCCCTATGTCTTTATATCTGTGACACCTAAATATTTAACAAAGAAGTTAATAACAAAGTCTTGTAAACTTTTTATGACATACATTTCTTTTTTAATAGCTATTTTAAAATATTTGGTTTCTTAAAACTTTGCGAGCTGCTATTTAGTTTATATATATATATATATATATATATATATATATATATATATAGTAATATATA